CTCATGTTATTTATTCTATTTCACATTTTATTTACATTTTTTCTTATTTCATATTTATTTATATCAACTCTTTTTTTATATCTTATTTTTTTCTATTTCACATTTTATTTATATATTGGTTTTCTATATATTTTATTTATATCAACTCTTATTTCATATCTTAATCTATTTTACATTTTATTTATATTTATTCTTATTTTATGTTATATTTTTCAGGAAGTGTGTTTAAAGCGTTACCAATTTTGATTTATAATCAGTGCTTTGAAAAGCCGTGGATTGTTCACTGTAACACATTTATCCATTGAAAACGAGACACACGAGATCAGCCACTCAGTGTGTGTGTGTGTGTGTGCGTGTGTGTGTGTGCCAGGGGCCTTTTAGAGCCCAGAAGAATGAGATGGATAGATGGATCCACCTCTTTACCTCCTTCCTTTCTCTCTAGGGTGGGTTTCTCTTGCATTAATGAACGCAAATGTTGACATTTGTAGAATGAAGGAGTGGAGCGGCTGTTCTCTCTCAAACCCTTGCCGGTGGCCGAGGTGACTTTCCCAATTAAAGCCGAGCGATGGAGACATAAATACAGAAACACACTAAAAAGGTGTCAGAGCGCTCTTTCCCTCTCGGCGGCCCACCGAGAGACGGATTGTGCTTTTCTCTGGAGAAGTCAGGTAGAAACACACACACACACACATGGTTGGTTTTGTCACTGTGTTGGGACACTGGTGAAAAAAAGATGAATATCACCATGGCTATTTATGGAAAATAATGTTTCTGAAGTATGCAGTATGCATATTGTGTGCACTTTGCACATTTCCTGTATGCATTTTCAGTATGACCAGTTTAAATATGCACATTTTCTGTATGCATTTTCAGTAAGCACATTTCCAGTATGCGCATTTAAATGTGCAAATTTTCAGTATGCACATTTTCTGTGTGCACATTTCCAGTATGCGCATTTCCAGTATGCGCATTTTCAGTATGCACATTTTTTGTGTGCGCATTTTCAGTATGCACTTTCAGTATGCGCATTTTAGTGTGCACATTTTCAGTATGACCAGTTTAAATGTGCAAATTTTCAGTATGCACATTTTCTGTGTGCACATTTTCTGTATGCACTTTCAGTATGCGCATTTTAGTGTGCACATTTTCAGTATGACCAGTTTAAATGTGCAAATTTTCAGTATGCACATTTTTTGTGTGCACATTTTCAGTATGCGCATTTTTTGTGTGCACATTTTCAGTATGCGCATTTTTTGTGTGCGGATTTTCAGTATGCATTTTCTTTGTGCACATTTTCAGTATCCACATTTTCAGTATGCACATTTTCAGTATGCACATTTTCTGTGTGCTAATTTTGTGTGTGTGCGCATTTTCAGTATGCATTTGTGCACATTTTCAGTATCCACATTTTCTATGTGCATATTTTCAGTATGCATGAAATCAATACCCAGATGACCTACTACTGTATGTTTGCCAATATATGCGGTTTACAACAGATCACACCATGTGAGATACTGTATCCCACAGTGCAATGCACTTGATGTGTGACATGCCATTTCCATGGTGACAAATAAACTAAGCAATATCAGCTACAATTTAAAAACCAGTTTTTGACTCATTGTTTAATCAGACTTCCAAAAGTGAATGCTTTTTTGCACTAAATTAAACACTTTTTTTGCAGTTATAATTTTTATTCCAAAGGTGATAATTAGACTCTCACTGAATTAAACATCTATATAGTGCCCGTTGCATACTGCTATTTTATTTCGACTACATTTAACATAAAAAAAAAAGCATGCAACTGTATGCAGTTTGCAAAGTTGTGGGCGTTTCAATCATAACTTGAAATGAAACATCATATTAACAAGTTCACCCTTACATATAATCAGATATAGTAAAAAAGTATGCATTTTTTTGTTGATAAAACATAATTTAGTTGTACAGAATAAATATTGTGAATGCTTGTGTTTTATTAGTCGTTGTGACAGTGGAATTAAACATGCACATAATGAGGTCATGTGGTACATCAGGTATATTACATTGAAACCATGGAATAGTGATTTTTCAGTGTATACTGTGCAGTTTGTAGTATACTAGTACACAGTCGACTTCATCTATTGTGTAGCTGGTGAGGCTCTGTCTTCTTCCCACGTGATTGGCCGGATGATAATCATGTGATATTGTGAAACATGAGCCTGTTCCTCTCCCCTCAATTAGAGGCATTGTGCTGTTCATTCAGATGCTAATCCAATCAGATTCATGAATGAGGATGTTCTTTTTAAAACAAACAATATATCCATAAATAGCCTTAAATATACATCTGGTAAAATCATGTTTTTATAGGCCTAGATGATATATTTTGATTGCAGGTCATAATGAGAGTGAGTTCACATCACACCCACAGACCTCCGAGGATGTAACCCAGTTTAAGATGTTTAATGTGCTTAGCTCATGCAAACGTAAGCCATGGTTGTGTATCATTTGATTGTGTTTGACCTAATCACGCCATCAAAACAGGATGTGACTTCTTTTTTTTTAACCCATCTGGCATTTACATGCTTATTCAATGTCATAAATCAAGGTTGCATTATTCTTGTTTCGTATGCGTTTCATATGTATGATTAATATGCTGAAAATCTTAAAGAGGCCATATTATGCCCTTTTATGTTGTTTTTGTCCTCTACTAGAACATGTTTTCCTGCTTGAATGTTGATTATTTTCCTCATATTCTCCATTGTTGCGGCTCCTCTCTTCCCAGTCTGTCAGTAACGCTCTGTTTAGTTCCTGTCTCTATGAAGCCCCGCCTTCTGAAAAGCACACTGCGCTCTGATTGGTCGGCTGGATCAGTGTGTTGTGATTGGTCGAGCGCTTCGAGTGTGTTTGGGAAATGTCCCGCTCTTCCCATAACCGCCAGTTTAACACACTACTAACTAACTCAACCAGGCCCCGCCCCTTTATTCTGTGTATGAATTATTATAATGAGGAATATTGTGACGTGTTCGTTCCCGGAAGAAACTCAAGACTACAATGGAGGCGTTTCAGGAGTTCAGAAACACTGACATGTGATATTCTGCAATGCAACTCGATCATCTAAACGAATATGATTATAGATGATCGAGTAAATGTCTAATCATATTCGTTTGATTATACCTAGAAAAAGTTAGTTTAGTTTCGCCGCTCCAAATGACTGGAATGTGCTACAAAAGTCATTATTTCAATCTCTGCATTTAAAAAAACTATTATGGAGTGTTTTTATCAAAGCTTGTGAATGTTTTTAATTAATGTATATGTGTGTGTGTATATATGTAGTGTGTCATAATTCTCCTGCCAGGCGGTTAATACATAAACACTGATATAGAGAATAACAACTGCACATCACACACTAAAGAAAGATGAACACACACAAGCAGAGTGTGTCTTTTGTCTGCTGTGTGTTCCAGTAATCTGACTGGTGGTGTGTGTTCCTCCTGCAGTGTGTGTGCGTGCGCTGGAAGTGACGGTGAGCCAGAGCAGTGTTCAGGTGGCCCGAGGTCAGGCCGCCGTCCTGCCCTGCACCTTCTCCACGAGCGCTGCGCTCAATAATCTCTACATCATATGGATGGTCACGCCACTGGCCAACGCCAACCAGCCAGAGCAGGTGAAGAAGCACAACACACACACACACACACACACACACACACACACTGATCTGCACAACACACACATGTGAAACAATATTCAGCGGGAAACCATTTAGAAGAGTGCTTGATCATATCCATGAGGATTAACCCTCACAAAGTGCACACAACTTTAAGCTTCATAACGTCATATTTGACTAAAAACATATTGCATTAATAACTTCTTAGCATTTGCAACATATAATTTTATAGAGCGCCTTTAAAAGTTGCTTTCTCAAAGCGCTTTACAGGCAAACATAGAGAAAACTACACACTTTAAATGCAAAATTTACAAATAAAATAAATAATCAAGTAAAAGCAATCCTAAAATTAAAAGTTTTGAGAAGAGATTTATAAGTCACTATATGAATATGAATGTGCAAATATTTAAATGTCTTAAAAGTGACCATGTCACTTTTTTGTTACAAAATCTATACATATTCATTTTTTAACTTAACATCAAAATTATTCTGGATTGTTTTCAAACAAAATGCATACATTTTACTTGCATAAACCGAAAGATAAATTTTTCATGGTGCGATGGTTTATCAGTGTGTGATAAGTGATGGGAAAGAGGCTAAATATATTTTACAAAATTATTTTTGAGACTAATCTACTGTAACTCTATAGATGTACAGAAAAAGTCATAAACTTTGTGAAAAGCCAGATAACAATGACCTAGAACGCAAACGTTTGGTTATATTTCTTAAAATAATTTAAAAAAAAACTGAATAAATGTGTATTTTGATAGTCTGATACTTTTTCTCCTTGTCATTAATTTCATATCTTGTTAGATTTATGCTTTAAAAAAAACTATTGAGTTAGAAATAATTATAATAAGTTATCATATTTTATGCTAATTGCTTTTCAGGTAAATGTATCCTGTTATCAGGACATTTAGATATTTTTACTGGGAAACAATGCACAAATATGGATTAATTTTTTCCATTGTTTTATTGAATGCATTTTTCCGGGTCAAAACTAGCCTGAATGCATTGGGAGGGTTAATTGGACAATGAAAAGTGAGCTATGATATTATTGATTAGGAATATTTCTTGCCAGCAAAATAATCTTTTTAAGATTATCTTGCTTGAATGAAAGTTAATAGGAAACTCCCCATCATGCACCTGTTCTCATGTCAATGCTACTGATGCTACACAACTAGACCGCTCGGATCATAATCAATAAACATGTTTTAAGTATACACCACTTCATAGATTTGATTAGTTTTGTTGCTTGCGGTGCTGATTGAGTGTTGAACAGTGTCTCACATTTCATGGTTTCCATATTCACTACTTTATTTCCCCTCTCAAGTCCCTCTTTGAAGACAGTGACTGTCGGCTTCCCACTTCCCTGTGTTCATTAGCGGACTGAAGAAGCTGAAATCAGGAGTGTGTTGCTCATTCTTTAACTTAAAGCATGACCGTCATCTGACTTTGTGTACGGATGCGGTTCAACACCCTGTAAACACAGCAGCCCTTCACAAACATTGCCATGTTTACTACTGGAGGATTTATTCAGAAACGCCAAGTAAACAAATAAAAACTGCCAGCCAGGGTCACGGCACCAGAAACCATCCAGATTTATTTCCGCAGGCCGTTATAATGACAGGGTTCGTACAAGGTGCTGAAAGTGCTTGAATTTGACTTTTTGTCTTGGAAAACTTTTGAAAACAGACATATTTCTGAAAAAAGCCTGAATTATTAGAAGACAATAGGCAATATTAGAAAATAGTGTTAAATTTGATTGATAAAACAATCTTTTCACACTCATCTGATACTGATATTTAGCATGGTTATGAGCGTGATATCGCTCATATAATTATTCAAGTATATTATACAGCTTTCATTCTTCATATACATACACACACACATTCAAGGGAGAAAAAATCAGTTTGAATAAGGAAAGCGATATCTTTGTCATAGTATCCTTTCAATGCTCATTGAATTGCATTGTGCTGCACTTTATACCATTTTGTTGTATTATTTTGATTTATTTATCTATTTACCTTTTGATAATTTGAAAGATAATTAAGATATTGTTTGATAAGTGAGATCTCTGATTGTTGTCCTTGAAAACCAAAAAAGTAGTGTTTGAAAAGTAATTTTCAAGTTTCATATTACAGTATCGGTACGAACCCTGTAATAATAGTTTGTTTATGTCTGCTGCATTAGAATATAATCACGCAGCACACTCATTATTAGCAGACTAATGAGACTAACTGCACAATGTTGTTCATAGCTAATTAGAGAAGTGCTGAAACACTGTTTTGTACATCACGTGTGTGTTTGCAACTGTAGTTATTCAGAGCTAGAGCTGATTTTACACTTGAAAGGTCAAGAATTCACACCTGAACACCTCAGGTGCCGCTACTAAACTGTGCTAAGATCTGATTGGATGAGCCACATCTGAAAATAGCTGATGTAATCACACCTGTGTAGTGAAGTATGCAGTGATACTCCGGTGTAACTCACACTTGGGTTCGTTTGAGATGCGTTGAAGTTCACTAGCTGGAAACTCTTCCTGATGTTTTGCCCTCCCTGTTATCTTTACTGGACCATCCAAACTCCAGCATCTGCACAATGCCCTGTGGGTAAAGCGGCACATGTGACAGCACACGCGTGTGTGTGTGTGTGTGTGTGGGCTTCAAACGCAGAGCGCAGGTTTATCGCCTCATCCTTTGATTCCGTCTGATTTATTTTCATGAATGACTGCAGGCGAAACCTCATTCACCTGCTTCCCACACACACACTTACCTATATACAACTGTGTGAAGATAACCTGAGCACACACACACACGCACATACACTTACCTGCCTGTAACTCTGTGACCTAAACACACACACACACACACACACACACACACACACACCTGCCCCCAACTGTTTTAACCTAACACGCACAACAAACGATCTTCTGCACTAATTAACCCAGAGCTGCACAGGCCAGAACACAACAGCTGCTCGTTACACAAGCACAAAACACACACTCTCTCACACACACACACACACACACACAGATGCAAACACATGCATGCATACACATACACACTCGCACGCGTGCACGTGCACACTCACTCACACACCTACTCACGCACACTCTCACTGTCACACACACACACTCCCACTCTCTCTCACACACACACACACACACACACCATAAATATACAAACACACATGCTATCTGACAAATTCAAAAGATTTTATTTAATTTCTAATCTACTTAATTGGTTTACACTATAAAATAATTACTATAATTTTTTTAGAGAATTGGGTGCTAGTATTCTAGTTTTTTGTATATACTACTAGCCTGTTCATATATATATATATATATATATATATATATATATATATATATTTATTTCTAATTACAGTTTCTTCAATTGCTAACAAGCATTGTTCAAAACTGAAGCCACTTTTTCAAAACTCATGAATGAATCACAGCCTAAGAGTTAATCTCACCTCCAAAACACTCAGACCAACAAAACACTTCATATCTGTCTCAAAATAAACTCGTTCCACCATAACACTGGCAACAATTCTCATTCAGAAAACATAAATGTCACTCATAACAAACAGACTTAAAAAACACTAACAACAGGGAGCATTACATAAATCGTGAACTTTGATCTTTGAAGTTTGAGTGATTTTTCACATAAATCAGTATTTCATTATAGGATAAGAATAACAAAAAGTTGAAGCAATAATAATGACATCATCAGAAAGATGTCTAGTGTAATGGCGTCTGTGCAGTATTTGAGTCCCAGGAGTCCCACACAATATAAAGACATACAGGACAGGTGAATATGAAAGTGTGTGTGTGTGTGTGTGTGTGTGTGTGTGTGTGTGTGTGTGTGTGTGTGTGTGTGTGTGTGTGTGTGTGTGTGTGTGTGTGTGTGTTTCCTGCCTGCGACCCGAGACTCTGGGAAAGACTCCAGCCTCCCCACGAACATACACACAACCGACCGACATTTTTTAGCTTTTAGTATAAATATATGTTAGTCTTAACATTATGAATAAGCTGGTGTGCTCCAAAACAATGAAAAAATTCACATTTATGAGATATAAGCATTCAAAACTTACAGTCTCTCACTTCCGCTAAAATGGATCAGGGATGTTTATGACATCATCGTGGACTTCAGCTTCTCATCACATCTTCTGTCCAATCAAATGCTCTCTAGAATCTAAAGCTCCGCCCCCTCTGCTATAAACACCACCTGGCCAAAGCGAGCGTTGACATCTCGGTTGGAGTGTGTGTTCGGTTGCTCAAACGCTCCAGTTTTATTCCGATGGTTAAGAATGAAATGCTAGAATATATTCACACCTCTACTATTGAATCCAACGCATCTTCAGCGCTCGGATTCGCTTCCATGGAGCCGTCAAGTACGACTGCAGTCTGTGAGGGAAACCAAACGCTATTGGCTGTTTGAAAAGGGGGAGGAGCCATTCAATATGTCCCGCCTTAGCTTGGTCAACGCATCATACAAAGCTGCTGTTCCAAGGCACTTTAAAGATGCCGTTTGCATACTGTGCAAAGAATACAATATTTCTGTACGCATGCGATACCTGGATGACTAACACACACTAATATCGATTGCATTTGCCAAAATGTGCAGGAACTTACAAAACACACTGCAATACTGTATCCAACAATGCATTGCACTCAACATGACCAGTGTGAAGAAGGAAAAGTGTTTTAATGGATACCTTTCGACTTCCAAACATTAAGACATTTGATGCTAAATGAATAAATATCCATAATCAAGGTCATGTGATCTGTCTAGCATCAATGGAAGTGCATAATTGTAGCTATCATTTGCTAGTTTCACATGTATGGCGGTTGTATCCCAGCATGCTCAGTGCTTCATAGAGTATAAGTGAGGGATTTATGCCGACGTGTCTTTAGCATATGTCGACCTTCTGACCTGATTCTGATCAGATCACATTCTCCCCACGTCTGTAATCTTCTGTGTTCAGCGGCAGATTAGGACATACAGCAGATGTGTGTGTGTGTGTGTGTGTGTACAAGTTCAGTGTTTCCCTGAGAAATCCTTTTTTCATTTGCAAGTTTATGCATTTATTTATAGTAACCATTTAAACTAAATATATTTCATGTAAGAATATTATTTTATTCCGTCACATTTATGTGCGACAAACGCATGTTACGACGTGACTGAATACGTTATAGAGAAGACTGACGGCTGAATGTAGGGCGGGGCATATGATGCGTTAGGGGGCGGGGCTTAATGATTGACAGCTCATGATGTGGCCGGAGCCAAGTCAGTTCTTAGCCGCTGATGACCATCTGTACACAACTGATGACCTCCTTTCCTCTCGAGTGTGTGGAAATCTGCTTAGTTTCCTCTGTGTGTGTGTGTGTGTGTGTGCATGTGTGTATGTGATTTTGTCCTTGTTAGAATTATTGGTAACACTTTACAATAAGGTTCATTAGTTAACATTAGTTAATGTATTAACTAACATGTTTTTATTAATCTTTGATAATATTAGTTCATAAAAATCCAGCTGTTCATGTTAGTTCACAGTGCAATAACTAATGTTAACAAATACATCCTTTTGATTTTAATAACATATCAGTAAATGTTGAAATTAATATTAACTTAGAAGTTAGCTGAAGAAGTATTGTTCATTCTTAGTTCATGTTAACTAATGAACCTTATTGTAAAGTGTTTTAAGTAACCGCACACTTCTCCTCGACAACTTTTCATTTGAGAAATCTTTAATACTTGATCCCGTGTTACGTTAGTGTCGAGATAATATTATCGTTTTTATCTGTATATTTTCCATTTTAATTTTCCCTGAAGTTTTAGCAATTGTTGTGTTTTTGTCATTTTTATTAGTTTTTGATATATTATAAATAAAAACATATTATTATTTTTTTTTTTTGTTATTATTATTTTAGTACATCAATTTTAATTAAATGAAGATAAGTAATGTTTTCTTGGCTTGCTGAAATACAATAGTAATACAAAATATTAACATATATTCAAGTACCGAAAATATTTTTAATGTTTTTAGCTAAGTATGATAACCCTGCTATGAGCACTAGTGATGCATGACTTAGTAAACAGCACTAACAGCTCACCCATGATGTGCACTACTGAGACACTGAGATCAAGACTTAGACGACTGATAACATGCATTAGAGCAACACTCGTTTTTCTTTCTCTGTCATGTATACCTATACATCACTCCCATCTTTTCCTATTACACAGCTCATATCTCACACACACACACACACACACACACTGGCTGCGGGGCTTGTCTTGATTCATCTCAGCTGAAGTGCTGCCTGTTCATTTGTGTGTAAGAAGCGCTGAGTCCATGAGAGCATCATTTACTGGTGCTCAAAACACTGTCAACTCTCTCTCAGTGTGTGTGTGTGTGTGTGTGTTACAGGGGCCTCTCTGTCCTTCAGCCTCTCGAAGGCCTCTGAAACTCCCATGATCACACACACACACACACACACTGAGTGAAGCAGGTTCCTTTTAATGTTGCGGATCACAGAAGCTTCTAACAAAGATCAAAGTCCTTTAAAAATGCTTTATAGTGTGTGTGTGTGTGTGTGTGTGTGTGTGTTGAATAATCTACGAGCTGCTCTTCTTCTACACCAGTGTTTGATGGACAGTGACCAGGAGCTGTGCTCATAATGATGCATATTTACACTTGTTCAATAATTAATTATTTAGAAAATAAAATGCATCCTCAGTCATATTTATATTTATCTTATTTACACCTGTCAGCACTTGCTTTTTAACAGCAGACAGAAAAGTTTTCTTAATTTCATGTTTCTGGTTTTATTGTGAATGATTCATCTGATCACATTATTCTAAAGAATAGAAATACATAAAGTCATTACATGAAATATATATATATATATATATATATATATATGTGTGTGTGTATGTATATGTGTGTGTTTAATTTAAATAGCTTCTTATTTTTCTTCTTCCTATCTGCAATTTTCTGCATTTAATTCAGCTGGAGCTTAAAGATTTCATTCAAACTTTGTATTCTGTTAAAAAAAAATCTGTAAAAAAAAATTAAATAATAATAATTAAAGTTCAAATTACAGATTAAAGTTTGAAAATCTTCCAGTGACTTGACTTGTTAAAATATTCAGCTTCAAAATCGAACTACTTCCTGCTGAGAGTGATGATGTCGTTGTAATATTTGCATGCTGATTTGTGATTGGTCACTTTCTCACTGGATGCTTAACAGATGCTTAATATTCAGAAAATATTATCGATCTAAATGCAGAGATGCTGAATAATGACACTATTGTCTTCGGTAGAGCTGCTTTACAGCTGAAATTGAAGTTGTTTCATAATTTATGAATTTTGCCGCATTAACTGCCAATTATTTTTCTTGTTTTATACTGCTTTGAAACAATCTGTTGTTAATTAGTTGTCTAGTCAAGTCACCTTCATTTATACAGCGCTTTTAACAATATAGATTGTATTAAAGCAGCTTTACAGTGATAATAGGAAATTAAAGTAACAGAGATTGTTTAGGCTTTACACCAGCTCTAGAATAAAGTTATTGTCCAGCTAATTTAGTTTTAATTGATTCACATCTGTTGTAAAAATCATTAGTTATTAAAGTCATTAGTTATTACACAACACTGTTTTAACTGAAAACAGATTCTGGCTGATCATTTGCACGACAACAGTGTTTGGTTGTATAATGCACTATATAAATAAATGTGACTTGTCTTAACTTGGTCTTTGCATTTATTTTATAAGTGAAAACTTACCTGACCTTTCAGTTATTAATATCTTGTTATGTGTCTGTGTGTGTTTGTTGACAGGTGATCATCTATCAGGGAGGACAGGTCTTCAGTTTAGCCAATCACATGAACGGGCGTGTGGGTTTCGTGGCCACTATGCCCAGCACAAGTGCCTCAATCTTCATCAATAACACACAGCTGTCTGACACCGGGACGTACCAGTGCCTGGTCAATAACCTCCCGGACCGCGGGGGGCGCAATATCGGGGTCATCGGCCTCACTGTGCTGGGTGAGTCTCGGCAAGCACGGGCTACTGGTGCATTGTAGGGATGATGCACGGTATATCGGCCACCATATCGGTATCGGGCGATAAATGTTCATTTTTAATGTTATCGGTATCGGGCGATAAATGTTCATTTTTAATGTTATCGTTATCGGCCGATAAATGTTCATTTTTAATGTTATCGGTATCGCCGATAAATGTACATTTTTAATGTTATCGGTATCGCCCGATAAATGTTCATTTTTAATGTTATCGCATCGGCCGATGCGATAACATTAAAAATGAACATTTATCGGCCGATGCGATAACATTAAAAATGAACATTTATCGGGCGATACCGATAACATTAAAAATGTACATTTATCGGCGATACCGATAACATTTTTAATGTTATCGGTATCGCCCGATAAATGTTCATTTTTAATGTTATCGTATCGCCCGATAAATGTTCATTTTTAATGTTATCGGTATCGGACGATAAATGTAAATTTTTAATGTTATCATTATCGGCCGATAAATGTCCGTTTTTAATGTCATCGGTATCGGCCGATAAATGTTCATTTTTAATCTCATCGGTATCGGTCGATAAATGTCCGTTTTTAATGTCATCGGTATCGGGCGATAAATGGTCATTTTTAATGTTATCGGTATCGGCCGATAAATGTTAATTTTTAATGTTATCGGTATCGGCCGATAAATGTTCATTTTTAATGTTATCGGTATAGGCCGATAAATGTTCATTTTTAATGTTATCGGTATCGGCCGATAAATGTTCATTTTTAATGTTAATGTTATCGGTATCAGCCGATAAATGTTAATTTTTAATGTTATCGGTATCGGCCAATAAATTTCATTTTTAATGTTAATGTTATCGGTATCGACCGATAAATCTTTATTTTTAATGTTATCAGTATCGGCCGATAAATGTTCATTTTAATGTTATCGGTATCGCCCAATAAATGTCCATTTTTAATGTTATCGGTATCGGCCGATAAATGTTCATTTTTAATGTTATCGGTATCAGCCGATAAATGTTCATTTTTAATGTTATCGGTATCGCCCGATAAATGTTCATTTTAAATTATATCGGTATCGCCCGATAAATGTTCATTTTTAATGTTATCGTATCGGCCGATAAATGTTCATTTTTTAATGATATCGGTATCGCCCGATAAATGTTTATTTTTAATGTTATCGGTATCGGCCGATAAATGTTCATTTTTAATGTTATCGGTATCGGGCCGAAAATAAAATTTGTTTTATATTTTAAAGCCGATAAATAATGGATTATTTCCTTCAGATGCGCACTGTTTGCTACTTTCAAAAAAAGGAAAATACAGGTCAGTGCAACACAAGTCTGTCACTGTCATATCGGCTGCATAAAATTATTATGAAAACATTATAATGGTGTTTGGCTTTTAATGGTGAGACTTTTGTTATTGTAATCAGGCTCTCAAGTTACAAAACAAATTGGATTTAAATTTATCGGCCAATATATCGGTTATCGGCTTTCAAATATAAAGAATTATCGGTTATCGGTATCGGCCAAAATGTTCATATTCCTAATTAATTGTTTTTAATGTATGTTTTTTTAGTTTGTGCACTGCCCTAATATAATTGCCCCCTGTGGGATTAATCAAGTCGTTAATTTAACTAACTCTCATTACTCTTACAGTGTCTGCTGTAGGATTCTAGATGCTTGAACATGCTGTGATGTGCATTACTGTATCCCACAATGCAATGTGCTTAGCTTGACCTACAGAGCGATGAATGAACCGGAGAGCAATTTCAACCACAGTTTTACTATATCTTTCTTTGTTTTATTATACATTTTTTTACACAAAATTTGATTAAATAATGCAAAACTGGAATAAATAAGCTATGTCTAAAACACTGTTTTTTAATTATTATTATTTAAGTACTAGTGTTTATTTTTTAGATTTTATATCAGTTTTAATTTCATTTAAAAAAATAATAATTTTGCAATGTGTTTTTTTTATACATTTTCATTTTTAGGTTTAATTTTAGTTTTAGTTCAGATTTAGTTTTTTTTTTATTTCCAGTTATTAATTTTAGTGCTTCAACTTAAACTTGTTTTAAGCAAAAATTCTCATTTTCATTAGGTTTAAGTTGTCATCTAAATTGTTTTTTTTTTATTGTGCTTTTTAAGGTTACATGTTTTTTCTTAAATAAATATTACTATTTAGGTTTCATTTATTTTTTGTTTAGATTTAGTGCTTCAACTTAAACGTGTTTTTGTTAGTTGGCAAAGCAAAATTTGAGTCATCTAATATTTTTATTATTATTATTATTATCGTTTTGCTTTATTTATATTAACTAAAATGTTTTAATACCTTTAGTTGTTGATGATAACCTTAGATAATAGAAACTGCATGATTGAAAAGTATGCATGCATTGACATGTGCCATTCCCAAGTCCTCTCCCAGTGCCTTCTGGGATAGAAGAGTGTGAATGCACACTCAAAAATCATGACAGAAGTAGAAACTTTAAAGTAAACCATCCGTACAGTGTGTGTGTCATGAATGCTATGGATTTGGACACACTCTTCACGCGTCCTGCACAGTGCATGCATAGTTTTGGACAAAGGGTTAGTGTTTTTTCAGATGATATCCGGGCATCATTTTACTGACTAAATTATGAATATCATATGGTTATGTGACAATGGTGTTTATTGTTGCATAATGTGTACTGTTTCACATGCTGTTTTTTTGTACACAAACCTGGCAGATTGCACACTATAAATAATTTTGGCTCTGTGACGAATTGCTTATGGTGGATAAAAGCATCTAACAAATGCATAAATGTAAATGTAAACAGGACCGATATTTCAGATCTCACAGGGCCACATTTTTGACTATGGGTATAAAGCTATTCTGCTGGTTATTTTGGCCAAAAAACTCACACAAGTATATGAATGTAAATATCAATATTCAACGTTTTACGTTTAAAACATCAAAACAGTATTTCTGCATGTGTAACTGCAGGTTGAATGCATTCATGTCCCTCTGATCTGCATTAAACGGTGTGTGTGTGTGTGTGTGTGTGTGTGTGTGTGTGTGTGTGTGTGTGTGTGTGTGTGTGTGTGTGTGTGTGTGTGTGTGTGTGTGTGTGTGTAAATGCGAGTTCAGATGCAGCTTCTGTGTCTCCTCTGAATTTGGAAAGATCAAATTTGTTGATAATTTCATTTAATTGTTAACAGCCCTACTGTGACAAAAAAAAATGATGCATGGATTTAATAAGGTTTTAAAAAAAATGGCTTTATCAAGGAAAAATGCCCATAAAAAGGTCAAAATC